TCTTGACATTGACTAAGTTACATGACCAATTTAACCTACTTTCTAACTTGTAAAATTAGAATAACATCCCATTTCAATGGAATATCAGGGTAAGTGGGGTAGTGTAGTTGGAAGGGCTTGGAACCGTATCTAGACTGAACATTAGGAGCTTAATATTGGTTCCTTTCTCACCCACTTTACCTAGAACCACAAGAAGTTCTTGGGTTTTGTTTGTATTTATTTCTTATATTTTTGAAAAGATAATTCATTAACTGATTCAAATGACATACAGTGAAAAGTCTTCCCATCTTTCCTCTGGCTGCTTAGTTTCCCTCCCCAGAGACAATCAGTGTAATCAGTTTGTTAAATGTCCCTTTTGGAGGTATTTTACACACATAAAGCAAATAGTAGTGTACATACAGTTATGCACTGATATTTTGAAAATCATTACATATGAGTACAAAAGGAGCTTCCTCAGGACTCTTTTTGTAGCTCATACATTTTATACACAGGAATTTATTTAATCAGTGCTCTAGTGAAGGACACTATGCTCCAAGGAGTAACTGTGTGTGTGTATTATATCTATTCCTAGAAGTACTCAAAGGGTGTGGGCAAAAGTAGTTTTGACAGATATTGCTCAATTCTTCATCTCCTCATTAACACTGTTATCAAATTTTATGATCTTTGTCAATCTGATAGCTGAAAAATGGTATCTTGGGTAGTGTACAATAAATTGAAATTATCCTATTTTGAGTGGAGTGAGTCTTATTTTATATTTAAGAGACCCTTCTATTTTAGCTTCTATGTCTTTTATATCTTTTGACCATTTTTCTTATTGTTTTTCCATAGGAGCTGACAGTATAATAGGAAAATTAGCTCTTTGTCAGATGAGTTGCAAATATTTTTCCCCAGCTTGTTGACTTTTGACTTCGCCTATTTTTTTTCTGCCATGCAAAAATATTCGATAATTATGGGATCAAATTTATCCATTCTCTCTTTTTCTTTGATTCTGGATTTTGTGCTGTAGTTTGAAAGGCCTTCCTCATACTGAGGTTTAGAGAAAACCAACAAAAAACAAACAAACAAAACCAAAAACAAAACCTCCCCTGGTTTATTCTGTTACTTCTAGGGCTTATTTTTTATTGCAATCTTTGATCCATTTGGAACTTAGTAAAGTGTAAGGATCATAATATTAAGAACGAGCTCAGTCTGTCGTACATGTGAGAAAAGAGCCCCACGGAGGGGAAATGCCCGTCTCCAACACCTGTCCCTCCTCTGGTGTTCCCCAACTCAGGGACTGGCGCCCCTAACCAGCAAAGTGCCAAAGTTCAACCTTCGACCACCAGTCTGTCCTTTTGATTTTTCCTTTTAAATATTCATGAACCTATTTACTTCTCTCCACTTCCATTTACTAAGCAGGCCTCATCATACTGTTCACACATGAGGGTTTTAAAAAAGTTTTGTAATATATTCCCTGGCTGGCATAGCTCAGTGGATTGAGCACGGGCTGCGAACCAGTCTCGCAGGTTTGATTCCCAGCCAGGGTACATGACTGGGTTGCAGGCCGTGACCCCCAGCAACTGCACATTGATGTTTCTCTCTATCTCCCTCCCTTCCCTCTCTGAAAATAAATAAATAAAATCTTAAAAAAAAGTTTTCTAATATATTGATTTTTAGAGAGAGGGAGGGAGAAGATGAGGGAAGGGGGAGAGACATCAACTTGATGTTCTGCCTGTTTGTGCATTCACTGGTTGATTCTTATATGTGCCCTGACCAGAGATTGAACTCACAGCTGTCGCATATGAAGGTGATGCTCTAAACAACTGAGCTACCAGGCCAGGGTCACATCAGGGCTTTTAAGCATGCTGCACCCTCTGTATGGAACAAGGCTGGCTCCTTCTTCAGGCCTCAGACCTTCCTTGTCCACCCTGTTCCAAGTACAACACCCCCCTCCCCCCCGGCATACTATTTTTTTCACTGCACTTATCACACTCTACTTACCTTGTTTATTCACTCACTCAGTTTCGCTTTTCCACTACAATATAAGTTCTCTGGTATCAGGGGCCCTGGTTTGTTGTTGTTGTTTTTTGGTGGGATACTTTTTGTCTCCTGCTATATCCCTGGCACCTACAACAGGGATTTTCACATAATGGGTGTTCAGACTATTTACTGAATGAATAAATGGACTACTTCAATGACCTCCTGATTCTCTCTCTCTCTCTTTTTTTTTTTTTTATGCTGCCCATGAGACATACACTCAGGGAAATTTGAACTCTTCTGATTGATATGTTAATAGTCATCGAACAAGATCAAGGAGTCCCGAGAAAAGAGGCAGCTCAAGGCCAACTGTGAGGCCGAAAGAACTGGGACTGACTGGTATGGTGCCCAGACAGGATCAGGGACCTGGTGTCTGGGGGCAGGTCTGCTGCCTGCTGTGATCCTGAGCAAGTCATCTCACCTCTCTCAGCATCTTCCTCTTCTGTAAAGTGGTGATATTAAAATCTCAATGATACAGGAAAGTTGTAAAAATCAAATGAAGATGCACATCAAAGTGCTTGCACACTGCAGACAGTTAAGGATGTAGGGAAAACTTTCTTCCCTTTCAGAGGAGGCCAGTGTCTCTTTCCCACTTACCCTCCCAGGAGTTTCCTGCCTTCAGATGAAGGCAGGTGCTGTACCAGGACGGAGACTGTTTTCTACCCTCTCCAGCTGCTCTGGCTGGGCCCAGTGTCCCACCCAGGACATGGCACCTGCCAAGAAGCATGTGGCTGGTGGGTACAACTGAGCGCTTCCAGCGTACCCAGGTCGATGCAAGAACCTTTTTCTTCTAGGCCTCATGCTTTTCTGGAGGAAAGCAGGCTTAATGATCTCACCTTCCAAACACAAGACGGTCATCAGTATGACAACAGTGGCTGTAAGACTGGTCGCAGGATGGATGCTCCCAGAGGATGCCAGGGAGAGCCAGAGCACAAAACCTCAGGGCATCAAGTGTGCCCACGCTTTGGTTTAGGAGGTAATGCTGGTTTGTCTTTTGTCAGCCTCCTGGAGCCAAAGGTTCCTCCTATAACCACTAAAAATGGCATTGCTTACTTAGTGGGCCAGAAGAGCTGTCTCAACCCCGCAGAGAGATTGATTGTTCAGCCTGAAAATGAAAAGTAATCTCCAAGTATGGGAGAAGTGATCCATTTTAAGTCAGATTCTCCTTAAAAATTTTATTTTTCTTTTATTGAGTCTGGAGAGAGTTGAAGGGAGGGAGAGAAACATCAATGTGAGAAGGTAACATGTGTCAGCTGCCTCCTGCATGCTCCCTGCTGGGAACCAAACCTGCAACCTAGGCATGTGCCCTGACCAGGAACCAGACTTGAGACCCTTTGGTTTGTGGGACGACGCCCAACCAACCAAACCACACCAGCCAGGGCTGGAGGCAGATTCTCTTCTGACATTGTTTTGTCTGTCTCCTTTCCTCTGCCGGCCTTGTAAACGCTGGTAACCCCTATGTTGGTCTTTCAGATTTAGGGGAGATTTTACTCATCTAACATTCAGGAGCATGGGAATTTCTGATTTTATTTTTTAGTGCCTCCCTTCCCCAAATTTTCCAACATGCTGCCAGCGGGATTTTTCCAAGGCAGTTTTTGATCTTTTGGCCCAGAAATCTTTTCTTACTGCCAATGGGATCAAGTCCATGTTCCTTAGCTGGGAATCACAAACTGCCACAATTCACTTTTTCAGCTTCAGATTGATTCATTTGATTTCAATATGAATTGAATCACAGAATACGTATCAGTTATGATTAGGTTCAGAGAAAGCCCAAACACGAGGGGGTTAAATATCACAGAAGCTTATTTCTTAGGTAAAACTTATTTCTCAATTCCCAAGATGGACAGTCAAAGCTTCTGGGTGTCACCCAGGCTCCTGTGATTTCACTGCTGTCCCATTCTTAACACGGCCGAAGATGACTATGCAAACCCCAGGAGTCACGTCTGCATCCCAGCCAGGCGGTAGGTGGAAGGGAAGAAGCAGTTCAGGAGAGATGACAGTTAAAGAGGGTCCTAAGAAACTGACACGCAGTCTGCTTACATCGGTCACAAGGGACAGACCTTCTCTGCTGCAAGGGAGGCAGGGAAGTGTTTATTGCAGCCTACTATGTGCCCACCTAAAAGTCATCAGTTTTAATTCCTAGGAAGAGAATGGCTATTTGGGGAAAAATCAGAAGATGCAAACATAAATGTTCTGCCTCTACAAATTTGCTTAATCTGGTCTCTTAATCTGTAATGCTTGTCTTCCTTTCCTGTCTGAGAAAACAATGATCACCCATTAAAGCCCAACCCAAATGTCACCTCCAGGCCCCTAGGGGTATTGTTTTTAGGAGTTTTGAACGCCCTCCAGAGGCCTCTAACCATGGTGCTCTGAACCTTACTCCGTCCCCCCTCCTGCGGGTCCACACCAGGGGCCTGCCCCTTCTCTGTGCAGGCTCATCACTCCCTGTGAGCCCAACAGTGTGGACCGCCTGAAGAACCCAGCCTTACCTCTCGCTCCTAAAGCTGTTGGGCAGCCCCTGACTACCTCTCCGGCTTTTCTCACTGCCCGAAGAAGCCCTCTGTACACATTGTTTGTCCCCCTAGTCCTGAGGATAAAGGGCAGGGCGATGGGGGGGTCTTGCAGTGGATCCTGAACCCAGGTGTGTAAGGTGGAAAATCTTATCCAGAGGGCACCTGCAGACCTTCCCACATGGACCTTCCCACACTTCGGTAGCTCACTGATCACTGTGGGAACTGTTGTGGGATTACTGGTTTAACAAAGGGCTTCCCAACAGAGGCACTATCGCATTTTGGACTGGATGATTGTTTGTTGAGCTGCACACCACCTGAGAATGAATCAACTTGCCTTTTTACTTTTATTTATTTTTTCTTAGAAATACAGCATTATTTTAAAAAATATTTTATTTATTTACTTTTAGGGAGAAGGGGAGGGAGAAAGAGAGGGAGAGAAACATCAGTGTAAGATATATCAATTGTCTCTCGCATGCCCCCAACTGAGGACCTGGCCGGCGACCCAGGCGTGTGCCCTGACTGGGAATCAAACCAGTGACCTTTCAGTTTGCTGGCTGGTGCTCAATCAACTTCAGCCACACCAGCTAGGGCTCAGCCTGCCTTTTTAGAATATTCTCCTCTGTGGGCTTGGGTGGCCTGAGGGCAGGGATTGAGTCTCACTGGCTCTGGTCCCTGCCAGGCCCACCCTGGCTCTGCTTTCAGGATGTCAGTAAACGATCGTTGCTGGGGGAAGAGACAGAGGATAGGCAAGGAGGGGCATCTAAGTCCTGGGAGATGGCAGGTGCACAGTGACAATGATGGCCCTTCTCAGAAGGGGCGACTTCTATGGGTTTTGCTTGTTTGTGTTTAGGAAGCCCAGACTTATTAGGTACCCTGAGGCTGGCCTGGGAGAAAGTCTCGGCTGGCTTCACAGCCCTCCCGGCGGGAAGTCACAGGGAGGAGAGGAGCAGCCTGTGGAAGGTTGACGGCCCAGACTAAGGGCCCAAACCAGTCCTGTTGATCCCCTTCCCTTTCCACTTCGCTCTGGCTTTGCGGGAATTAGCACATGGTGAGAATCTGTTTTGAAGACACGAAGGGCTGCATCGAGGTCTCCAAGGCTCCCTGGTAGTCCTGCAGGGGGACCTCGGCGCAGGCGGGAGCCGTGAGCAAGCCTCGGTGGGTGAGATCGCACAGAGTGAGGATCAGCTCCTTGAACTGGGCTGTGGGAGGTCGGAGGCAGTGAGACAGGGGTGCGGCGGCAGTGGCAGGGCTCAGAGATGGCACATGGGTCACCCCCTGCTGTGGCAGCCGGTGCTGCGCTCCAGGGAAGCCTTGAGAGCCCAGGGCGTGCCCACAGACAGGGCAGCCGTGGAGGCTGCTTGGGCCCCACCCGTGTTCAGGACAGTGAGAGCCAGGGTGGGGCAGAGGAACAAGGGGAGTGGCCTCAGAACCGACAGGCAGGCAGACTGGTGGCTCGCACCCACAGAACGTGACTGGGGTGTGACCCAGAGTCTGAATGGCAGGAGGGGCAGATCACCTCGAGGAAGGGAAGCCAGCAGAGGATCAGGGAGGGAGGTGGGTGTACCTGGCACACCCACTGATGCGGAACAGAGGAGCTCCGCTCAGGAATGGAGCTCTGCCTGCAAGCCCAGGGCTCTCTCAGAACCCCAGGAGCGGAGGCCCCCAGCGTCCCCGCCCATGGAGGACCCAGTATGGTACAAGGAGGTCAGAAGTGAAGGCCTTGGCTGAGAAGTGTTTTTTCATTGACATCAATTCATTCACCATTCACGTCTGATCAAACCCTCTGCTTAGAACACTTCAATGGCTCTCTAAGGGCCTTAAGATAGCGTCTGAACTCCTTAAGATTATAAGGCCTTTTATAAGGTGGTCACAACCTGTAAGGCCAGTTTCCTGCTCTCCCTGCTCGGCGTTTGCACACGCTGTTTTTCTGCCTGAAACACCCCATTAATTTACCACTTTCCTCTCTTCACTTGGGTAACCCCTCGTCATCCCTCAGTCTCAATTTGGGGGTCAGTCTCTGGGGAGCCAGTCCCCCAGGAGGGGAAGGATGTACCAGCTCAGGCTCTGGTCAGAGAGGTTCACTAGTCACAACCTGGCTGCACCCTTCCCTAGGTGGGGTGACTTTGGGCAAGCTACTGAACCACTTGAACCTCAGTTTCCTCTTCGGCCAAACAGGGCCAACAACAGTTTAAACTGTGGTGACATCTAACCTGGGGCAGAGGTTGTCCAGGTCCCCCAGTTGGGCGAGGCAGAACCTCTAACCAGAAACGGGAGGCCCAGGCAGGCCGGCTCCAGAATGTGTGTTCTTTGCTTGGTCGTCAGTCACGGCAGTCTTCCCACGCCAGTGCCTCTCGGACGGGGCAGGGCATGTCTTGCTCAATGTTACGCCCCCCAAGGACTAAGCCCACTTTAGTCTGATAACTATTCGCTAGGTGCATCTGCAGTCAGAGGCTGTTTCCCTTTATCCTGCTGTGGGGCTGGGGGCGTCTGGTCACCTATCCAGGGCTCTGAGTCCGGTCACTTCTACAGCAGGCTCTGCCCTCTCGTGTGACCCCTGGCAATGGGGCCACCACACACTCACCTGGACTGTGGTCCTTCTTCCACTGGGACAACCAAAAGCCCCGAAGTTTGAGATCCTTAAAAATGAGCAGGCTCTGGGGACACAGGAGGACACACTGAGACTCTGAGGGTGAGGACTTCAGATGCCACTTAAAGTAAACATTCTTCCCCCAGCCAAGGGGCCTGCCTGAGTTCAGACAGCTGTGGGGTCCGGCCCAAGTCCAGGCCTGCCTCCCCGCACCAGCTTACCACGGAAGCTATGACGGGCTGCTTGGCCATGCCCCCGTAGGTCACCATGGTTCCCCCGGGCCTGAAGAGTCAGAGAGAACAGAGTGGGTGTGTGGGGCCCTTCTGGAATCTGCCACAGTGCTGCTATTCCAATGCTAAGCCTAAATCTTGTTTTTAGAATTCCTGGGAAGGGTCCCAAATACAGATTCCTAGGCCCTACCCCAGACCTAATAAACCAGGGGGCAAGGGTGTCTATTAAAAACCACCACCGCCCCTCCGGGTGACATGGATGTGGGGGCAGGGCTGGGGACCCACCCGTCTAACTGCTCGGTCAGACTGTGAGGTGGCGGCGCGCAGAGAAGCTCAAGACCTGCGTTCAGCCTGGCCCTGCTCTGGTTTCAGGTGTGAGCGCCCAGACCCCGCCTCTCTTCCTCCCACACAGGACAGACGAGGGACCACGTGCGTTGCAGTTCCCCTGGGAGGGTGCCTGGAGCAGGGCTGATCCTGACTCTGATCGTGGGTAGGTGACTGTCCTCTCGGGGCCTTGTTTAAAAGGGGGTGGGCACAGCACCCCTGGCCAGGGTGGCTGGGGGAGGGGCACCTCAAACTCTCTGCACAGAATTCAGTACACAGTAAACTCTCAGTGACTGTTTTCCCAGCTCTTTGACCCATCTTCCCACCTAGACGGTGAGTTCTAGAGGGTTCTACTGCAGCGTCTCAGCCATCTCTATACTCTGTAGCGGCGGAATGCTAGCAAATACATGTTAACTAATACAGTTTAGGGGATTCCTGCTGTAGCTGGGAAGTGTCCTTTTGGGCATACTTCTGCCCGAGGTTGTATTAGAGGGAAAAAGAAGGGAAGGACACGCACTGTTAGCCGTGTCAACAGTGCCAACCCCTCGGTGGTGGGACGACAGGTAACTCTGGTACTTTGGTTTTTCCTTTGTACTTTTATATGCTTTCAAAATGTTTTGTAATAAGCATCGTATTACCTCTGAAATTAGAATCTATTTTTACAAGCTAATAAGCTAGGACTAAGTGACTTTTTAAGATGCCCGTAGGTTATATGTTCTTAACCATTCCCCCCGCACAGAGAGCCTGGCAGTGGGTCCCTGGGGAAAACTGCGCTGGGTGGGCCTCCCAGTCACTTGTAATGAAGGTGGCCGAGACCGGAAGTGCCCGGATAACTGGGATGTGACTTTGGGCCCAGGGAGCGCCTGCGCACTGGCCCTGCAGGGCTCTGAGACTCACGCCAAGTGCCGCAGCAGCTCAGTGGAGCTTTTCCCGCCGACGCAGTTGAGAGCGAGCCGCGGCGGAGGCAAGTCCTGGAAAACAAGGGGCCTGCAGTGAGGGGGCTTCCACTCTGCACGGGGTCGGGGTGGGGGGCTGACGCTGCTACCCACCCCATTCCCTGGCCCGAGTGTCGGGAGGAGGGGGGTGAAGAAGACAGGATGCTCTCGTCTTAGAGTTCTGTTTTTTCCCTGCTCGGGAATGGCCTTTTCTTTACCAACCCAGTCCTGTGATCTGTTCGAGAATTTTGTTCAGATCTCACCTCCTCTGGGAAAGGAGAGACAAAGGACACCTGCGGTGCATTCCCAAGGACTTCGTTTCCCCGAGCGCGCCTCTTCGAGGCACTTTGAGCTCCCTTCACATTAGACCCACCGCTTCGGGAGTGTCCCCAAGGGGCGTGCGTCCCTGACGCTGCGTGTGCTCGGTCACTCCGAGGCTCAGTGGCAAGAGGCTGAGATGTGGTTTGGGCACTTAGAGTGTGCTGGGGTGGGCGCTCTGGGAGGTTCAGGAGCTTTGAGTTCAGAGAGTCCTGGGGGCAGCCCTGACTCCACCACTGACAGTGTGGTTTCGGCCATATCCTTCACCTTTTCTGAGTCTGGGTTTCCTCATCTATAAAATAGACAGCACCTACTTTGTGGGACTGACAGATAAAATGGAAGGTAGGTACCTAGGAAATGTTACTTCTTTTCTTTTTCTTTCCCGTCTGTGCCTCAGTTTCCTCAGCTCCTCTCCCAGTCCGGAGAGTTCCGTGGGCTGTGTGGGATGATGTGGCCCCAACACAAAGATTCAAAATTGCACTCCACACAGGGTTTCCTCCACCCCGTCGCCTCCCCTGCCTTCCTCACCTCCCCTGGGCACCTGCTGCCTGGCTGCGGGAGGGGCCTCAGCCTCCCATGAGGAGACAGAGGGGTGATGTGAAGAGGGACAGTGGGGCCAGGCCCCAGCTGTGCTAGTTCAAGCCAACTCTCTGCAGGGGGCGAGCACGGACTGGAAATGCAATGTCCCGCATCCGAGGTACCTTGAAGAGGTTTTTTGTCTCGGGTTTTCTTAGTTCCTCTTCTGTGATAACGTGCTCGGCCCCCAGACTCTTCAGTTTGTCGGTCAGCGTCTGGATGTCAGGTCTGGAAAGCAAACACAGTCCTTGGTCACACGCGCTCCCCTTCCTCACCAAGGCTCCCAGGGCTCCTCCGCAGCGGGGGTGAGGCTGCGAGCTTCCCTGCGGGCAGCTGGGGCCAGGTTCCAGCCAGGTCTCGGCGGGGCCTGGCTGCCCATGTCATCACGTGCCCGCATCTCTGGGCCTTGGTTTCCCCAGGCTGGGCGGTTTGTGCGGCTCCCACCAGCTCAGGGGTGCTCTAAACCATCTGTGCCCAGAAGTCATTTCACTTCCTGATTTCTTCCAGGGATCGGAGGGACTCCGCTTCCTCTCTGCTCCCCTCTCTTTTCAAGGGGCTCTTCAGAGGGCTGTGCAAACACACTCCAGCCCAGGAGTGGGCCTGGGGCTCTCCAGCCAAGGCAAGCGATGATTTCCGTCAGCACACCCGAAGGTGTGGGGAACTGAAGCGAGTATCAATTCTCCCCCTAAGCCTGGACTTCCATGACAGACACGGGCACACTCGTGCACAGGGGGGCGTAGGAGCTGGGCGATGTGAGGGAAGGGGAGCCAGTCAGGAAAGGAAGCCTGTTACGGACTCACTGTGCGCGGCTTCCTCTCTGAAGCTCCACTTTCCTCCTGTGTAAAACGGGGTGACGAACCCATCCCCTGCCCTTCAATCCCTGTCCAGTGCACTTCGAAGTTGCACACTCGTGCAAGGGAAAGGGCCCTGGGTTACACAGTTCACAGAAAGCGTAACACAGCTTAAAACATTCCCAAATATGAACTGTGGTTTTGAAAACATTGGGTTATCACAGGTCAAGAGTTTCAAACACTCCTAGTGTTCAGCCACCACCAGCTCCACCTCCTTCCCGCCTTCCCTTTACATTTGAGAGACTGTCCTGAAGCCCAGACTCGGTTTCTCCTCTCTGACGTCCTGCTTATGCAAGGGCGCCATCTGGTGGAGATGCAGGGACACCAGGTGGAAAGGCCCGAGTCAGGATCTGAGATACCACCTCCCACGCACCTGTCTCGGACCACGTTGATGGTCCTTAGGCCCAGGGCTGCGGCGATCTGGATGACTGCTTGCCCCACGCCACTGTTGGATGCATTCTGGATGACAGAATCTCCTGTGGAGCCAGGAAGAGACTCAGATCAAGCCCAGGAGACATGTAATTGGTCAAGGGCTTCCAGCCTGCGTTCCTATCACATTAGGCAAGAGATGGAGTGCTGAGGCTCAGGGGGCCCCGGGACCTGGCTGCTGAGCCTTCTCAGACCTTAGAGTGTTGCTCCCTCTTCTCCTAATGGCCCCCCAAACTTCCACAACACTCTCGGTGCCTCGTAAGACTTGGCACCTCAGAGTCTACAGTGGGCATAATTTAGACCCTGCTGTGTAAATGATTTTATATCTTTTGTCATCCTACGATTTTTATGTCCTCAAGTCCCTGCTTAGGTTATTTTGTTGGTGTGCAATGCTTTCCTCTTTCTCCCTTTGTTTTGAAATCCTACTGAAATCCTTTGAAGTGCAGCTCAAGTGTGGCTTCCTCCATGAAGCCCTCCCAGACTCTTCCCCACAGCACTCGGCAAGCATCTGTCTCTGCCAATACACACGGTCGGCCTCATCTTCTACTTGGTTGTATACGGGTCCAATTGTACCGAGAGCTTGCAGCTCCTCGAGGTGAAGGCCCTGCCTTCTCCCGCTCTGTCCTGCTTAATAAAGGCTCATTGGCTGGAAACGGGATGACAGCCATCCTGGAGAAGCTAAGCAGCCCCTGAAACAGGGTCCTCTAGCTTGTGGTCCAAGCCCAGGCCTAGATCTGGAATTAGTCCCTGGGGAGGCGGCGTGGCATGTTGGGAAAACGGGGCCCTGGGACAAGATGGGCCTGGCTGTGAGTCCCGCTTCACCAATGACGGTAACTGAACGAGACAGGGCAGGTCACGGCCTCTTTGAATCGGTTTCCCTCCCAATAAAGCAGGAGCCCTGCAAGCATCAGTCAGGACGCTCGGAATTGGAGGAGCCAATGCTGTCGTGCCCGGGAAGGCGCTCCGTTCCCCCGGAGTGCTATCCGGGTCTTGACGGGCAGCAGGATCTGGTGCGAGACAGAGGACGTCCAGGAAGGACGCCCGTTCTCCGCGGCCAGGGCCGGCACGCAAGCTGTCACTCATTAGTGGGTTGTGAAATCAGTGGAGTGGGTCACAAGCGGCATTTTTTTTAAGTGAAATAGAAGGGACTAGAATAAAACAGCACACATAGTGAGGGTAGGCAGATATTGCTCCATGAAATTTTGGTTCCCATTATATGTATATTCATACATGGCTAGGTACTGGATTTTAATGTAAAGTGGAATTCTCACTGTGGGTCACGATGATAAGTTCAACGCTGCTGGAGAGGCCGGGGCCACGCCAGCCTCGAGTCAGGAAAGCGAAGAGGCTTGGTGGGCACCTGAGGTGGGGTGGCGGCAGAATGTCCTGCTGTGTCCACCACAGCGGTGGCCCGAATCAGGGGTGACCCAAAGAGATGAGACGCAGGTGACCAGAGTGTCCACTCACTAGGCTTGAGGAAAGGTCCCCGGTCACACCTGCTGGCTTTCCCCACTATCTGTTGCTAGGACCGCTCTGCCAGCGCTGCGAGACCTGCACTGCTCTCCATGGGAAGCTGGGACTGGTGTCCAGCCAGCCTGGGGCAGCAGCGGCCACCTGAGTTCACCGTATTCCAACACCTCTCGGTATGAGGTTCCTCGCTGGCATGGCAGAGGTAAGCTGGGAGACTTCCATGGTCCCACCGGCTTGCGGATACGCACAACGTGCAGGGAAGCCTCCCACATGGGAGAGTCGGCGGGAGGTCCACTGCAGGCCAATGCTGAGGTGGGTTCTCTGAGGGTCGTTTGAGGGCGCCCGCAGGATGAGCCCCGGCCGCCCACTGCAGTAACTGGCCTTCACCCGCGTCTCCTCCTTCCCGTCTCACTCTCCTGTCCCCCGCATTCTTGCTTCCCGGGTCAGCTCCCCAGGGAACTGTGCGTCCCCAGGCCTTGTCTCAGACTCTGCTATCAGGGAACCCCAAATAAGACACCTGGTTTTGTCAACTCCTCGCTGAGGATCTCACACCGATAATTTACATCTCCGGACCTCAGCTTCCTCATTCCTCAAAAGGACGAGTGGTGAAAGCAGGGTGGTCACTGCCCTGTGCGCCAGGCCCCGCGCCCAGTGTCACACCGCAGGGTTTCAGCTCACCCTCGGAACTCCCAGCCTCCGTTTTACAAAGTCTGATGACTGGAGAGGCCGGCTCACGGTGAGGGAAAGGCGAAGCTGGAGTGCCGGCCTGGGCTGTCAGCCCAGGGCTCGCATCTCAGCCAGCGGCGCCACCCTCACCACACAGCTCTGACCACTGGACGCAGGGCGCATCTGACATGGGAGCGCCGGAAAGGCACCTGTGTGAGCTGCACAGTGATACGCGGATGCCGAGCAGAATTGCTGAGTTCAGCATTCCACTGCAAACACAGGGCCTGTGTCTGCCGTGCCTGGCTTTGTGTCCCTAGGATTTAGCCCCGCTGAATGTGTTTCTGCTGACTGACGGGATTCCGTCCCAAGCTCTAAGAATGTGACCCTTCAGCAGTTTTCCAGAGTGTGCTCCTCATGGGGTTCCAGCGTGTTTTCCAGGAACCAAACTAACGCCTCTCTAAGCAAAAGCAACCACACCACACTCGCCCAGGTGAGGGCCCGTCTTCCTCCCCAGTGAGTTCCCATGGCCTCAGTGCCGCGGGTCACGCCCGGTTGGGAGACGCTGGCCTGCTCCTCCCGCCTGCAGGGTCCTACCTGGCTGCAGCTGCTCGAAGTCCACCAGCATCCGGTAGGCCGTGCAGGGGTTGACGCCCAGCGTGGCGGCACTCTGAAGAGGGATGTCGCTGGGAACTGCGATCAGTGCTTCCTCCTTGAACACGGCCTCGGTCCGCCAGGTTCCTGGGTCAGCGGAGGAGTTCCGGGCAGTGAGGAGGCCTGCTCCTCCTCTAGCCCCGCCCACCCTCTTCAGTGAATGGGCCTCCAGGACAGCAGATTTCAAAGGAGGGTTAGAGAGCGAAGACAATCCTGAAGTCCTTTTGAGCGTCTCTGGTCCTCACAATTAAGTGAGGTGTAGATTGTGTTGGTCCCACGTTAGCTACCATCAGATTCAGCTAATGCCACCCAGCAGGTGGCTAAGAATCTCAAACTACTGGACTTGGAGGGTAAGACAGTAACATCATTACTGGGAAAATGAGAAGCAGAGAAAGCTCCCGTTTTCCTCCGGGCACTCGTTCTTCCCACCCAGGGCGGGCTGACGTGGGTGGGGTTATGGGAAACGCACGAAAGTAGAAGTCGGAGGGCTAGGTTTGGGACCTGGTGGTGGCAGTCGCTACTTTGGGCAAATCCCCATGCCACTTGAGTTTTCATTACTCCAGTAGGTAAATGACACTGTCGAGAAGGGCCTGGCCAGCCTCCTCCGAGAGCAGCTGTGCAGATCAAATGAGATACGGGCAATAAAAAAAATCCCATAGACTGGAAAGAAATGATCATGAACTACCAACCCACATTCCAGTCCCAGACAAAAGACTCATAAAATGTCACTGCTGAGAAGGCCCTCGAGAGTATGGAGTTTAACCTCTGCACTCGGCAGGGCAGGAAACTGAGGAAGCGACTCGCCCAGAGTCGCCTGGAAACCGGGCTGCCCCTCCCTCCTCAGACGCCCACCCTGCGCCTGCTAGGAGCCTGGCACGGGTCAGCGCAGACACGTGCCTGACTTCTGTGGAGTTTCCACTCTAGCGGAGTAGAACGAGTGAGAAACAAACAAGAAAATACAACAATTATAAATTATAGAGGGACAGAGTAACAGTGGAGAGAGTTACTTTAGATGGGAGTCAGCGACAGCTTCTCTGAGGAGGTGACAGGCGGGAGCTAAAGGATGGTGTCGTTGGCCACTCAGGGACGCCCGAGGCAGAGGAGGACGCACACGCAGGGACTCTGAGGCAGGCCCGGCCTCAGGGTGGAAATGGGGCGCAGAGGGTGATGGAAGAGTGGTGAAGATGCAGCTGAGGTATTACGGGCTGAATGAGTGTTTTCGTATCTCTCTCTACATGTGTGTATATACCTATATACACGTGTGTGTATACCTGTATACATACACACACACCTCAGAAGCCCAACTTTTTCATGGACCAATATTTGCCCTATCATTTCATTCTTTATTCTATTCTGCCTTAGTAAAAAAGGACTCTGTTTGCAACTCACTCGACTGATTTTGCTAATGGGTCACAGCCCGTAGTCTGAAAAACAGAGCTCAGGGCCATGGCATGGAGAATAGATTTTATTTCAGTGAATGGGAAGTTTCTAATGAGCTTTAAGAGAACCTGGGGCCACTGGATTTATGGTTTAAGACACTGTGCTGCTGTGAGGCAGCAATGGGGAGTGGCGAGGGGCGAGAGGAGATGGGGAGGCCCGATCAGGGGGCTTCTCCCGGGGTTGAGCCCTGAGATGACGGTTGCCTAGACCAAGATGCCAGCAGCGGGCATGGAGAGAAGTAGATGGGTTTGAATTATCTGCTGAAGATATGTCAGCAGGGGTCGAAGGGCACTGGGGGTGGGTTGGCAGGTGCTCACCCAGGCAGGCAGGATCGTGCACAAAGTAGAGGTGAAGAGGACAGACCTCGGAGTCAGGCTGTGCTGTGTGCTCACGAGGCCGCCTCAGAAGAACTCCGGGGGGCCTTGCTGGCTCAGTGTCTGCTGGCTGTGCTGTCTCGGGGCCCTGGCCGAAACTTATGCAGCCCATGAGTATGTGTACTCATTACCTGGTTGCTGGGATTCTAACAGTCTCCTGATGCCACACGTCCCAGCTATGAGGGGAAAGGGGCAGCTTAAGCAACTACTAATTTTGCTGAAGGAGGGTAGAAAATATGTGGACTTTAGGGCCCAGGAATTGGGGACAAGAGGCAGGACACTACCTGGGGCCTGACTGTCCCTAACCTTGTGCTCAGGAGGACCAGGGCGGGGTAAGGACAGTGCCCAGGCCAGCCCCAAGGGCCTCCAGGGGTTTAAAGCAGAAGCCCTTAGGCTTTGGAGCTGGAGAGACCTGATTAAAAACCCTGTTCTGCCACCCACCAGTGGTGCGATTTCAAATTCTCACTGTGCCTTTTCTGAGTTCCACTCTTCCTGCTCTATGGAACTCGGAGGAGAACACTCATGCTGCAGTTCGACGTGACGGCACGTGTGTGGACCGCCGCTGTGCCGAGTAGGCAGGAAATGTGCGCCGCCCCTTTGCTGGTCCTGAGTCTCACGCCCTAGCTCTGAGCACTGCCACTCCTCACACGCGTGCCACTGACCCTTCACCGTCTCTGTCACCTAATGCAGGGTTGGCAGATGACAGCCCGTGGGCCAAATCCGGCTCACCACCTATTTCTGTAAATAAAGTTTTATTGGAACCCAGCCACACTCACTTTCTAAAATTGTTTATGGCTACTTCAAATGGCAGAGGTGAGTAGGGGTGGTATGTTTTGCAAAGCTTAAAATATTTACTGTTTGGCCATTCAAGAAAAGAGTTTGCCAACCCCTGATCTAATGCACACAGAGATTTAGCGTTTGTAAAGATCACTGCACCCATTGCCTCAGTTGAGCTGCGTCTGAGCTGCAAGGAAGTGACTATTAGTCCATTTTGGAGATGAGCACACTGAGGCTCAAAGTGCAATAGTTGTGACTTAAGGCCAGACAGGCCAGGTGGAAGGAGAGCCTGCATCTGATTCCCAGGCCACTGCCTTTTCCCCTGTTCCATGCTGCCTCAGCCAGGCTTTCAACCTTATTTATTTATTTATTTATTTATTTATTTATTTATTTATAGACAGAGGGGAAGGGAGAAAGGGAGGGAAAGAAACACCAATGTGTGCTTGCCTCTTGTGTGCCCCCTACTGGGGAATCTGGCCTGCAACCCATGCATGTGCCCTGGCTGGAAACTGAACCAGGGACCCTTTGGTTCGTAGGCCTGCACTCAATCCACTGAGCCACTCCAGCCAGGGCCTCAGTCGGGTTTTGAATGTTTGCAATGGGTAAGTCAGTTTGCACATTCTCTGACCCAGTCTCCCTTGGGACTAGTTGGGCTGCGTGTGGGAAAAAGCTTGCTAGGGCCATAGCAACGGCTGGGCAGCTCAATACCATGAAAAATGACCAAGTTGAGGACTTAGCTGCTTACCTAATTACTACTCTTACTAAGCTGCAGCCTTCACGACAAGACCTGTCTGTTCACTGCTGTATGCTAGGGCCCAGTACACCACAGATGTTCACAAAATGTTTACTGAGTAAACTGAGCTAATTATAGTCCTGATAATCATAAAATCCTCATCCTCTCCGACTGGCACCTGGTTTAAAAGACTCACTTTTCCTCCAGGGAGAAATCCCTGTTGTGGCCACCACTAGCCGCCCGCCCCCCCCCCCCCCATGCAATTACCCAATCCGCCTGGCAGATGTCCTCCGTTGTTCTCTCCAAGTCTAATTGCCACGTCCTGTTACTTAGCTCTTAAACCCACGTCTCCTCCCCACCCTGCGTCACTGTCCTGCTCAGACACTCATCACCTGAAGTCTGAGCTGCTGGACATTTCCTTACTGCCTTCCTGCCTCCACCTGGCTGCTGCCCTTCCCGAACTTTCTCTGCATTGCAGGAGTCGGATCAAATCATCCTCTTCCTACCACTTCACCCTCTGACCGTGGGTGAGAGCCCTCCATATTGGGGCCCCAGCCCACCTCTCCAGCCTCACCTTGCTTCTGCACCGTCCCTTCCCTGGCCCAGCCACACTGAGCTGCTTGCAGCGGTGACGGCGCCGCGCCTTCGCCCATGCCGCACCCCTGCTGGGGAGGCCCTTCCTCACCTAGCCCACTGGCTGCGTCTCTACTGTCTTCCCGACCAAGTTCAATTGTCAGTTCTCTGGGAAGCCTTTCCTAAAGCTTCCCGAGCCAGGGGACACTCGCCTTTGTGCCATCCTCTGGTGACGGTGGCACTCGCTATACTGCGTCCTACCGCTGTTCTCCTGTTCCCAGGCGGGAGCCCTGCCTGCCCCACCACATGTGTTGCTCACTCAGCTCAGGGCGGGGCCCAGCACCAGTCAGTGTCCAGTGAGCCCTTGCTCCCGTTTACTCACCAGCCTGGTGCCTTCACTGCCAGGCGGCGGGAGGAGAGGGTGCAGCCGTTCTTGGCAGCTCTCCTGATCTCAGAGAAGAAAGGAGCTTCTCGTAGACTTCTGTTACTGGTTCGTTTGTTTTTCCCCCCGCCTTTTTCCTTCTAGAACTACTGCTTCCTAAGCTCTGGGGCTCTCAACCACAAGGCCCACCCTCTATGCCACAGAGATGGGCAAGAGAATCAACTAAGTGATTGGAGTAGCCCAACCCTATCGCCCTGGTGGTGGGTTCACGGATGGGCAAGGACCCGGAGAGGGTTGGTGGGCGCCCTTCTGGGGCAGGGATATGGCTGTGTTGAATGGACTGTGCAGGATGTGCTCACTCCTTTGTTCTCAGGATGGTTTAAACCTCAGGCTGCCGGTGGCCATCTGTGAAACGTGTATAACAGAGGGGATTTTGAATCTTAGCTCTACCACTTACTGGCTAGATGACCCTGGGCAAGTTGCTTAATCCTTTACATTTACTATTGCCTCCTCTGCAACAGGGAATAACAGTATCTACTTCATGTGGGAATAAATGAGTTAATATATGTAAGGTCCTCGGAAGAGTGCCTAGTGCACAAGGAGTGGTCAATAAATATTTGTTGCTACTATTATATCACTGTGGGAGATCCCATCTAAGAACGAATGAGAACAAGGGAAAGACAGAGCTCTGACATCACTGCAGTTCCTGGATCCAGCTCTGCCTGAAGCCTTCAGGGGATTTTGAATCTTAGCTCTACCACTTACTGGCTAGATGACCCTGGGCAAAGGATGACTATCTCCTGCATTTCCTAGGTCCACAGACCAATTAACTTTTTTTTTTTGTAAAGCAAGTTTGAGTGGACTCTCCGGAAGTTATAACCCATACAGTACTAACGCTGGGGTGCAGCAGGGAAAACAGGGGAGGCGAGTCCGGTGAGCTCTCTTCCAGTTTGCTGTTTCAGTTTGGGCAAGGGCTTCTTTTCAAGCTTCAGTTCCTCCTGCCCAATGGGATGGACAATGTCTGTCCCGCTTCTCTTCGGTGGCTGCTGGGAGGACTCCTTTGTGTAATGTTTGTGCCCCCCAAACCACCAAGTGTTAAATAACTCAGCAATGACTCCTCTCTAAAAAGGAGGCCCTAACGCTTAGCTCGGCTTTTGCAGGCCCCCCCACCATGGTCCCGCTACCTTGGTGACCTCGCTCACGCCATCCTCTTTCCCAAGTGCGTATCCTCTGTTGAGGCTACACCGGATTTCCCGCCATTTCCCAAACTCATCTTTGTGTTTTTGCTCCTGTTTCCTCCAAATGCAATGATTTTGGCTCATCTCCCTCTGACAAAGCTCATCTGTCAAAGGTCTGTTCCTACAAGCCTCCTCCAGGAAGCTCTGATCCTCCCCTAAGACTGTCTCTCTCCCCTGCCCAGAGGTGCACAGAGGCACACAGAGTTGCCAGAAGGGTATTCCACTCCCTGCGAATTTGTAGCACTCCCTATGCTGAGGTTAATACTTTGGAGATTTTTCCAATCGGACCCTAACCTCCTGGAGGGCAGAAGCTGTCTTACTTATGTTCCATGCTGTACCTCACAGCAGGGATTCGGGGATTCAGAGAATCAGCGCCAATCCACACGAGCCCACAGAGAGGAGAGAGCAGGCAACTCACCTGAGCAAAAGAGACAGAATCTCTGCTCTCTGTGTTCAGTTCCCACCCCTCCTGAGGGTAGGTGAGGTCTGTGCACTTAACAATGGACCCTGCATTGCTTAGTTGCAGTGAGCCAACAAGCAAACCTCTACAGCATGCGTGAACGAGGATCCAGAACAACAAAAGGCTGCAGGTACCTGCAGAAACTCACCCAAACCAGCAGCTGCTGGGATCACCCAGTCTCCTGGCTTCACCCCGGTCACGCTACTGCCCACTGCCACCACCTGTCCGACGCCTTCGTTCCCTCCGACTGCAGGCAGTTTGGGAAGGAGGCCATAATTCCCTAAGGAAGAAGAGCGCAGAGGGTCACCCAGCAAGGCCTGGGCAGTGAAAGCATGGACTCTCAAGCCAGGCCTAAGTCCGACCTGGGTTCTGCCTTTGACCAGCTGTGTTAATGACCACCTGGCCTCTCTGAGCCTCAGCTGCTTCCCCTGTGAAGGGGGACAACGCTCTTTTGCATTCACGGTTATTAGGAGGCGTCAACAAGATAGATAATGTAAGAAAGGAGCCCGGTATGTTGCAGGCACATCGCTGTGACTGGTTTACTCCTACCGCAACTCTCCTAACTCTGGAAGAGCCTAACAACCCAGGTAGGGGAGGCCAGGGGCTCACACTGCCTGCAGATTGTGCATCTGCACCTGGGGGACAGCGGCTGCTACCCCAGGAATTTCACACCCACACCTGAGGAAGGATGAATGAAAACGAGGTGGTGGCTGAGCAAAAAGCCAGTTCACGTGAGGCACAGAAACCAAGGCTACCTTGGATCATGTTTATGTCAGATGGGTTGACAGGGGCCGCCAGCATCCTCACGTGGACGTCTGACCCGCCCACAGCAGGGAGCTCCAGGTTCTTCAGTCTGCACACAAAGCCAGAGAGAGAGGTTAATGTCACCCAGGGTGGAAAGGGCATCTTTTACTCAAACCACCTCCCCAGAGTCCATCAGGCAGCACCATCGTGTGCGCTGCCATTGTGTGCCCAGGAGTCTGGGTTCTGTCAGAAAAGAGAAAGGTGCTGTAAGGAACAGGATATGGGCTGAGGCTGTCATTAGCTGCAAGGGGAAAATCCCCAGTGACCTCTCAACCTCACTGCCCACTCTAGGACAGAAAAACAGTTGAAGATCCCGCCGGCCTGGATGAACTTGATGTTTCCCAAAACTTGCTCGTCAGCCATCTGGTGTGCTCACTAATACAGGCTCCAAGCCCGGGCTCTGACCCTCGGACCAGAATCTCCAGACACAGGCATCCCAGGTAGGCCTCGGGGACAGGCATGACAGGGACTCTCTGGGCTGGCTCGTTTGTCCTCCACCCCTTTCCCCTCATGACACAGAAGGGAGGGGGGCTTTCCCGCAGGAGCAGAGGGCTCGAGGGAGGTTGAGATGGCCTTTGTCGGCCAGAAAGAACTCCCTGGCGACTGTGGTTCACCCATGGCGTGATGCCCGCTCTGGGTGAGGAACCTGCTCAGAAAGCACGTGGGACAGAGAGCAAGCATCTTAGGTGTGAAGTCCTGCCATGTGATGGTGGTGTCACTCTGGGCTGTCTCTCCACTTGTAAAACAGGGGTGGGGGTGGGGCTGGCACCTGGTCACTTCCAGGAGCAGTTCTCGTTGCCAGTCTATGTGACATCCCTTTGATCGTTGTGGGCCCCAGAGGCCCCTGGAGCTTTGGTCAACGGGCAAAAGCTGCCACAGGGCTTCTGAGCGCGGCCTGGTGACAACATCCATGTGTTACTTTTTTTTTTTTTAATTTATTCACTTTCAGAGTGGGAAGGGAGGGAGACAGAGAGAGGGAGAAACATCAATGTGCAGTTGCTGGGGGTTATGGCCTGCAACCCAGGCATGTACCCTGGCTGGGAATCGAACCTGCAACATTTTGGTTCACAGCCCGCACTCAATCCACTGAGCTACGCCAGCCAGGGCTTACAACATGCATGTGTTACTTTTGTTTTTTTAAGATCTGCCAACCAGAAAGCACTGATCAGTGTACTACACTGGTGGGTCCTTGTGACTTTTCATTACGGGACCCTTTCCTTCTCCACACCCCTCAGGCTTCGTGTGTGCGGTGCTTTCTCTGCCCAAATGGACTTGCTAAACAATTCTCGTCATTTGCACTTACTAAAGGCACATGTAACTGTCGGCCGGAGGCTCTGAGCATCAGGCACCCATGTCACCGCACTAAACTGATGTAACTCTGTCCACTTCCCGTGGAAATCTGACCTTTTAATTACATCTGAGGCTCCATCTTGAGGTAAAAGTGTGATTTTCAAGAAATGTCTTGTACTAATAGTAATAATGGAGGCAGGTATTTATTGCACACGGCATCCTGTGCTGAAGGCTTTAAATACATCATCTGATTTAAGATGTAACACTTCTGGGAGGAAAGTATCAGTATTTCCATTCTATCAGGTAGGGCGTGGAGGCTGCCAGGGATTACTGGACAGGGTGAGATACCTGGATGGTGGTGAGGCTTCCCAGCTTGCAAAGTTGGTGCTCTTATTTACCTTCCTGTCCCCAGCATCCTGAGATTAGCCTGGGAACCCCCCTGACTGCCTGTAAGGGCCCTGGGGGTCTGAGGGTCCCATTTTGGGAATCCCTGTACCAGATTATGACCAAAATAAGGGAGGCCGTGCCTCACCATGATTGAGAAACAGCTACAGAAAAACAAAATACTTGCTACAGAAAGTGGGTAACCAGGAAGAAGTTGATGACCAGGGTAGAGAGAACAGAGAGATACTCCTGGCCGCCCCCCCTTTGGTAAATGCTGAGGAATGCATGTGTTTATGTGCGGCTGGAGGGAGGTGCTTGCAATGAGAACGGTAACTGCTGCCCGAGTGCCTGCCAGTGCGTCACTCTGCTAAGTGCTCTCCATGCCAGCTTTCTACTATAATTCTGATTTTATACTCGAGGCACAAAGGCACAAAAGGATTGATACAGCTTGCTCAAGGCCACCAAAAGTAGTAAGTGGCTGATCTGACGTGACCCTGGTAGCCTGATGCTGGAGCAGCCAGATGGTTAGCGGCTTCCTCCAGACCGAGCGGAGGGCGGCAAGGGGAGCACCGGCCAGGAGTGGTGAGCGGGCCTGATCCCTGCTGGACAGGCCAGGGGAGGCGAAGGGGCCGGAAGCTCCCCAGCCGGCTAAGCAGGGAGGCGGCGATGCTTTTCTGTGAATGCACGTATCAGCTGGCCCTGCGAAGACAAACCGTGCCCAGGGTGCACAGACTGGGGACCAGTGGCCCCTGTGTATTATCCGTGCTGCTTCTCTCGTGCATTCTGACACATACACGGAGTTTTTGCCTAAGCCGGCAAAGTCCATGCGCTTAAGCTATTTAAGACATTTTTTTCCTGCAGTTTCTATATGCTCTTGCCTCAGCCCAGACTGTCCCACAGCTTCTCCAGGACGTGAAAAATTCAATTGACCCTTTAAGACCCAACTCAAATTTCACTCCCCCAAGACATCCTCTGACCCACTTCTTGGCTCCATCCTGAGCGCCCCCATTACACAGAAAGAGTGATCATACCGTGAGACCCTCTTACCCGAGCTCATTGCTTCCTAGGTTATGAAGTCTTTTCACACATATTTTTCAATTGATCACAAGGCACAAATTCACATTCCTTTTCAAAACACTTGGGGTGAGATGTATATATCTCAGAGTTCTGAACCGTGTATTATCTACACCCCGTGTGGGGGTGGGGCAGCATTCCACGATCAGACACATTGTTTTGCAGCAGAATACATACATATTCACACTCAGGGGAATGAATAACGACCATGTAAGAACTTCATGTTGGAGGTCAGGTTTTGCCTCCAAAAGAGTTATGAAAAAAACACAAACAAACGATTAAAAAAGAAAAACAGGGGTCAGTATGCAGAGTGTTTTGCATTCTGGAGTTGTGGGTATGAATTTGGAATTAGATCCGGGTCTTTCAGATTCAGTTCAGTGCTCTTTTTACTGACCTCCTAGTTCTGTAGTTACAGTGAGCTGTCTCCCTGTTGGAGCGGGAGCTCACGGAGGGCAGAGAACTCTCGGTCTCAGCACAAGGCCTGGGACCAGGACAGCGCTCGCGGCTCCCTGCAGAGATGATCCCAGTTTCTTCTCCAGAGAGAAAACGTGGCATGGAAATGCCAGTCATTCAGGGCAGTGGAGAGGCTCAAACCACAGAGACCTGGCTATCGAGGCTTATACTTGCTCTTCCTGATTCTGGGCTCTTAGGGAAAACAGGCCTGAAGGAAGGGAGCAAATAAAGAAACGGAGATGACCTCTGAGAGAGTCTGGTCTGAGCAAAAACCCATGGCCCTCCCTCACAGGCAAGTTCAGTCCGGATATGCAGTGAGATGGCACTTTAACTTAAAGATCTAGACGGCTGTGGTCAAGATGAGAACCCAGGTAGAACTCAGTTCATAGATGACGGCCAGAGCTTGGGTTCAGGTCGAAGTTGGCAGTCCTGGGTTTGAATCCAGCCCTGGTCAGTTACCAGTTAGGCAAGCCTCAAAACCCTGGTCTGTGGAAGTGGGAGGACACTGCAGCCCGGTTCACAGGGTGACCCGAGTTAACGTGCATAGAGCACCTTTCAGAGTGCCCAGTACACGGTGGGTGCTGATGACGCGGTGCCCGTTACCAGTCCAAGGAAGCCTCGGACACAATTAGCTGGCCATACCTCTGTAAAGGATCACTGAAAGGAAGACAAATTATTTGGAAAATTCAAGTGAATTTGATTCAACAAATACTTATTGATAGTCCTACTAAGTGTTAGGTATGGTGCCATGGGGTTTAAAGATGAAAAAAAATCTGCCCAAGACCTGACAGTGTGGGCACTCACACGGGAGAAGTGCTATCTTGGAGGCAGGCGCACGGTGCTAACGGCGGCTGGGAGGTGAACCAGCTGGAGGAAGAAAACGGAGTGGGCCAAAGGGCTTGGGAAGAAGTGACAGTCTAACTGGGGCTTGAAGGATAGACAGGAGTCTACTGGGTGGCCGGAGCGAAGGAGGACAGAGTGGCACAGAAAACGGCCAGGCGACAGGTGCGGTGGGGACTGCAGCTGTGGGAACGGGCAGGATCGGACAACCCAGAGCACACGTGGCAAACACAAGGCCTGAGGGTGGAACCCAGCCCCCTGCCTTGTTTTGTCTGCCCGGCACCTTGTTTCTACCCGGCAGCAGCGCCGAGCTCCTTGCCCCTAGTTAAGCAGTAGTTACATTCATACAGCATTAAATTACATTCGGTCCTTTGAAGGCAACTGTGAGGCTGATGTGGCCCCCAGTGAAAATGAGTTTGATGCCCCTGACCTGGAATCTCTTAAATGAGTGGCACTGATGTCACCTGGTAACCGACTCCACATGGGGGGACGGAGAAGTCTTTGATGGCCCCTGGGCCTGTGGCTTGTGTAACTGGATGATGACAAGGGGACAAAAGAAGAGCGCTTTGGACTGGGGAGAAAGCTTACAGCAGGCCGTAGCCGAATGGTGTGGAGTCTAGGGTAGTGAACACATTTTGGGCGATGGCTGGACAGTTAAACGGCAACTAACGTTGACAGTTTACTAAGCTCCAGGCATTACGCTTAACATTTTATATACCCCACGCTGTTTAGTCCTCAAAACATCTGCCTGGAGAACGTTATCACTCTAATTTGCATACCGGAAACCGAAGCTCAGAAGGTAAGTAACTTGCCCAAGGCTGAACTGTTAGGAAGTGGCAGGACTTGACCCGAAGCCTGACTCCACAGCTCGACTGAGGAACATGAAGCCTGCACCCCCTCGCTGTTCGTGGAATTTTGTCCTGAGAGATGCTATTATTAGGTCTTCCCTGGGGTGCTATTCGTTTGGGAAATGCTGCCTACTAAATCCCCTTTATAAGATCCAGACAG